CAGCTCTGGCCAAAGAGCCCCTTGTTGTCTCAGTGCATTGAGTTACTCATCCCAGCATCAGCTGAGAGAAAACTTCATCCATTCCTGGGCTGGACTGAGGCTGTCAATCAAAGAAGGGATCTCCCAGGAAGCATGAAGCCTTGGCTTTCTACAGCCTTCATCTATTCCATGACCTTCGTATCCAACCCTCAGGGAGGAGGCTGGGAAAGGGCTTTGACCGTCGGTTAATAAAGGCAGCTTCTATGCTGTGGACATCTTAATAATAATAGTAAAGTTGGAAGGGACCTTGGAGGTCATCTAGTCCAACCCCCTGCTCAAGCAGGAAACCCTATACCATTTCGGACAAATGGCTGTCCAGTCTCTTCTTAAAAACCTCCAGTGTTGGAGCATTCACCGCTTCTGGAGGCAGGTTGTTCCACTGGTTAATTGTTCTAACTGTAAGGAAGTTTCTCCTTAGTTCTAGGTTGCTTCTCTCCTTGCTTAGTTTCCACCCGTTGCTTCTCATCCTGCCTTCAGGCACCTTGGAAAATAGCTTGACTCCCTCTTCTTTGTGGCAGCCCCTGAGATATTGGAACGCTGCTATCATGTCCCCCCTCGTCCTTCTCTTCGTTAAACTAGACATACCCAATTCCAGCAACCGTTCCTTATATGCTTTAGCCTCCAGGCCCCTAATCATCTTTGTTGCTCTTCTCTGTACTCTTTCTAGAGTCTCAACATCTTTTTTACATCTTGCCTGTGTTTCATCTCCCAGGGTGGGAACCAACCACTCAGGGACAGTTCAGAGTTCCAGCAGTGTACAGCTGCCTTTTTTGGTAGCTGCTGGAAGACTTTGTTGGTATTCCCTTTTAACTGGAGAGTAAAAATTGTATTTAAGTCCTCAAGAGTTTTTAATTCAGATTAACTTCAGGCCTTAGAGTGCTCTGTGATAGCCACTGGTGTAATGCTTGTGTGACCCTCCATCATGAGCACTTTAAAGTACACACACACACACAAGCCTCACATTAACTGAATTTTGGGTTGCATGAAACACAACCTGGTCTCAATTTACAATTCGCACTGAACTGATTACATAATTCAAAGTTGCACTTCCTGTAACCTACGATGTGTTTCCTAGGATTTGGTTCAATCAATCACGAGTGTGTCAGGCACAACTGATCTGATCTGCCCTTAAGAGCAGGGCCCCATCCCAATCCCCCAAGACATTTTTCCTAAAGTTTCATCGGAAATCTACATCTTTCAATTCAACACCAGAAGTCAAAATTCTCCAGTGAGAGAGGATGGAGTCAAAAGAATCCAGAGGGCAGCAGTTATTGAACAACTGGACTTCTGACCATTTTAAAGGGCATCACCTAACAGAGCTAAAAAAAAATGTCAGGATTTTCACTAAACTCTATGGCACAATTTGGTGGCCATTTTGAGTTTTTTGAGCCTCCCCTTTTCACGCCCGAAAACAGTCCTGTTGATTTGTTTCAAAAATAACTTTATTAAGGATTATATTCGGAGATCCAACAAAGAAACAATACAAGTTAGTATGTGTGAATATGCTTTTCACTGAATAAACAACCAGAGGCATCTTTGTTTCACCCCTCATCCCGCTTTCTCCTAAGTAAGGTTCTACATTTAGGCAAGAAAAACCAAATGTACAGGTATAGTATAGGGGGTACCTTGCTCAATAGTAGTAACTGTGAGAGGGATCTCGGAGTCCTAGTGGACAATCACTTAAATATGAGCCAGCAGTGTGCTGCAGCTGCCAAAAAGGCCAACACAGTGCTAGGCTGCATTAACAGAGGGATAGAATCAAGANGAATACTGCATCCAGTTTTGGTCACCACAATGTAAAAAAGATGTTGAGACTCTAGAAAGAGTACAGAGAAGAGCAACAAAGATGATTAGGGGACTGGAGGCTAAAACATATAAGGAACGGTTGCTGGAATTGGGTATGTCTAGTTTAATGAAGAGAAGGACGAGGGGGGACATGATAGCAGTGTTCCAATATCTCAGGGACTGCCACAAAGAGGGAGTCAAGCTATTTTCCGAAGCCCCTGAAGACAGGACAAGAAGCAACGGATGGAAACTAACAAAAGAGAGAAGCAACCTAGAACTAAGGAGAAACTTCCTTACAGTTAGAACAATTAACCAGTGGAACAACCTGCCTCCAGAAGTGGTGAATGCTCCAACACTGGAAGTTTTTAAGAAGAAACTGGACAGCCATTTGTCCGAAATGGGATAGGGTTACCTGCCTAAGCAGGGGGCTGGACGTGATGACCTCCAAGGTCCCTTCCAACTTTATTATTATCATTATTATTAATATTATTATTAAAGTCCAGTTCTCCTTAATGATCAACAAAGCTCTAATAAAATCTGTGCTCTTCAGTCAGAAATTAGGTGTCCAGTTCATCCCTTCTGCTCTATTGAGCCTCCGCGCTATCAGCCCTCTCTACCACAAAGATCCTGCAGGAGAAGGGCAGTGTGGACAACCCTGGGGTCTGGCAGGGTGAGAGCTGTGAACCATAAACACAAAGCCATAATGGATCTAATCCTCACTAACAGAGATGAAATGATAGAAGATGTTGAAGTCACAGGAACCTTGGGGGGAAGTGATCGTGCAATATTGGAATTCAACATTAGGGAAGCACAAGCAATAGAACACAGTAAAACTAGAGTCCTGGATTTTAAGAGAGCTAATTTCAATAAACTTAGAGAGGGCTTGGGAAGGATTCCATGGATGAGAAGCCTCAAGGGGAAAACAAGTCAAGAAGCTTGGGAAATTTTGAAAAGTGAGATAATAAAAGCCCAGTCTAGCACAATACCAACAAAGAAGAAAAATAACAGCTCTCAAAAGAAACCAGCATGGCTGCATAAATAACTCTCTGATAAATTGAAAGATAAAAAGGACAAGTATAGAAAGTGGAAAGAGGGGCACATAACTAAAGCAGAATATCAGCAAATAGCCCGAGCCTGCAAAGATGAAGTGAGGAAAGCTAAGGCTCAAAAGGAACTAAGGCTTGCGACCAAAGTCAAAAATAACAAAAAAAAAGCTTCTTTCAACATGTAAAAAACAAGAAAAAGGTTAAGGAAATGATTGGTCCATTAGTGGGGGAAAGTGGCAAGAAGGTGACAAGCAACAGGGAGAAAGCAGAACTATTTAACTTGCTTTTTGCATCTGTCTTTACACAAAGGGAAAAACCAGTCCAACCTATAAAAAACAGATTAGAAACACAAGTTAAGATAGGCAAGAAAATGGTAAGTGAGCACCTGTCCAGCCCAGACGAGTTCAAATCACCAGGACCACATGGATTACACCCCAAGGTTCTCAAGAAACTGGCAGATGTGATCTCAGAACCACTGAACTATATTTTTCAAAGATCTTGGAGCACTGGGGAACTACTAGAGGACTGGAAAAGAGCTGATGTAGTTCCCATCTTCAAAAAAGGAAAAAAATGGATCCAGGCAATTACAGACCTATTAGCCTGACCTCAATACCTGGGAAGATTCTGGAAAAGATAATCAAACAACGAATCAGCGAACACCTAGAGGTAAACAAAGTCATTACTAAAAGCCAACATGGGTTTGTCAAAAACAGATCATGCCAGACAAATCTTATTGCATTCTTTGACCAAGTGACAAAATTAGTGCATCAGAGGAATGCTGTGGATATAATTTACTTGGTCTTCAGTAAGGCATTTGATAAAGTGGATCCCTCGGGAGAGGCTTCTGGGTCCCGCTCCAGGCAGGTCGGGCGGTTCTCCCTCTGGCCTCCGGGCCCGCTCCCGCCAGGATCACAACCTTTTTAAAATAACACCCAGGCCAGGAAACCTTTTTCTCAGTTTATCCCAATTATGAACTTTATGGGTCTTTTTTTTTTTTTAAAGATTTCAGGATAAAACATTTTCTATGCTACAAATATTTCTGGGGCTCCTCTCTGTGGGGACTCACAAATGTACCACAACAATTGTCTCATTTCAAGGAACAGATTTTCCACACACCAAGCTCTGATGTGGTTTGTCACCTGGAAAGAGTGTCCAATAGTCCGAGCACCTGGAGGGTTTCTCTTCAGGGCATTTTTACCTGCAGACCCAGGTAGACATTCCAGAAAAATATTTCCCATACCAAACATACAATTTCTTTTTCTTGTGGATTCTTTGGAGCCTCCAGAAGTGAGGTCAGTATTTTGCACTATTCCAAGCATTTCAACAATGACCCCCTTTTGTGAATACTTTTAGGATTTATCAAGGTAGTCCTTACAGGTAGTCCTCAACTTATAAAATCAGTTAACGGTTCAAAACTACAGCAAACATTTATGGCCCATAAGCCATTGTAAAATATCTTCCCCCACCCCCAAGTTACCTGAACACATTATGAGCACTTGGCAACCGGCTGGCTTTTGCATCCAGTTCCATGATCTTGCAGCCATCAGATCACAATTTGCATTTTTGGGTCATTTTTTTTGCAGAAAATGCAAATTTGGAAGAATGGCTTTCTACTTAGGACTGCTTATTACAAAAAATGTCATAAAATCAGATACGGTCATATGGGTGACACAATGTATGACTGGGAAAACCTATGACCGGGAATCTGTTCCTAATTACAGTCATAAGTTGAGTACTGGTTGCGCTCTGCAAAACATAATGTACACTCCCACAACACTTGTAACCTCTTTTCTCTTGTGTAATCTCTCTGGTAAATTACTAATGATACTGCTTTGTGAGCCAAACGTTTTTGCACTCTTCGCATTTATGCGCTTTTGCTTGACTGTGTACTCGGATTGTATTTAACGCAATGTGACTAGGAGAAACATTTTCCCCACACGAAACAATTGCAGGATTTCCCTTCTGTCACTGTGTGAAATTCCTGATGAACACTAAGATGTGACTTTTGGAAAAAATGTTTCTCTCATTCTTCACAAATGAAGGGGTTTATCTCTTCTATGGACATTCTGGTGCATTTTTAACTCTGATTTACAATGAAGTTTTCTCACACTCTGCACGTTTATAAGGTCACTACCTTGTGTGATTTCTGGTGTGCTTGTAAAGTCCTGAAGGTTGGGCAAAACATTTCCCACACTTCAGACACTTATATGTTTTTTTCCCAGTGTGGGTTGTCTGATGCATCAACAGATTATATTTACGGGAAAAACATTTATCACATTCCGAGCATTTGTGAGGTTTCTCTCCTGTATGGATTTGGCTGTGACTTCTGAGGGAAAATAAATGAGCAAATGTTCTCCCACAGTCTAAACATTTGAAATTCTTTTCCCCTGTGTGAACTTTTATATGATTTCTAAGTTCTGATGTGCTACGATAAAATTGTCCGCACTCGATGCATTGATATGGCTTCTCCCCTGTGTGGATTTTATGATGTCTCAAAAGATTTCCCTGTTGAGCAAAAGCTTTTCCACATTCTAGGCATCTGTATGGCTTCTCTCCTGTGTGGAGCCTCTGATGCCTTCCAAGGTTGGGTTTTCGGGCAAAGCATTTCCCACATTCTCCACATTTGAATGGCTTCTCCCCTGTGTGGATTCTTTCATGATTCTGAACCTCTGTTCGAGTAAGGAAACTTTTCCCACACTCCCCACATTGATAGGGTTTCTCCCCTTTGTGCCTCTTCTGGTGTATCCAAAGTTCAGAAGAATTTACAAATCTTCTCGCGCATTCTGGGCATTCATAGGGTTTTTTTCCAGTGTGACGTCTCTGATGTTGCACCAGGTTTGATTTCAAGGTAAAACACTTCCCACAATCGAGGCACTTTTCGCTTTTCTCCCCTCTGTGCGTTTTCTGATGACTGTAAAGATATGTTCTCAGGGCGAAATATTTTCCACACTCAAAGCATTTGTAAGGTTTTATTCCTCCATGAATCTTCTCATGGGCGCAAAGACATGAATTCCGAGAAAAGCTCTTCCCACATTCCCAACATGTGTAAGGTTTCTCCCCTGTGTGAATCGTCTCGTGGTGTCTGAGATGGGCTTTTCGATGAAAAAATTTCCCACACTCCAGACACTGATAGGGTTTCTCTCCAGTGTGGATTTTCTGATGTGTAAGAAGGTCTTGCTTTTGACCAAAGCATAAGTCACATTCCTCACATTTATAAGGTTTTAGTCTGGGGTGGCGTCTGAGATCTTTGGCGTCTTTTCCAGAAAAGGATTTCTCACCCTCCAAACCTTCACTGGATCCACTTTCCACATGGACCTTCCTGTGGGTCAAAAGGAGGGACCGGTGAGCGAAGGATTTCCCACACTCTGAGCATTCATGGGTTCTTTGGTGGTTTTCCGGAGTGCTGCCTGTGTCTGACGGGGGATCCAAGAGTTTCCCAGGCTCCATCCTTTCTGGTGCTTGCTGCCTTGGGATGAATTTCTACTACCTGTTGATAGTTGGCTTGCAGGTCAATCTTTGGTCACAATCTTTTATCTGGTGTTAGAAAGAAAAAGAAAGGAGGAATATTAATTTCCTTCTGAGAAATCACAAAATCCTAGCCTTGGAAGGGACCATGAAGGTCCCCCAGTCCCACCCTCTGCTCAGTATACATGAGATAAAATCTCAGTGATGGAGCCCCACATCTGTAGGAGGGATGTCCTCAACCTATGACCACAGCTGTGACTGGAATTTCGGTCCTTCAGGGAAGCAGTGGTTAGGTGACCACTTCTCTCCACAGTTGAAATCCCACACTCTGGTTGCAATCATTAAGTCATCTTGGGGGTTCTTAAGTGGAGGGAGGCCTAGGCCAGGGGTAGGCAACCTTGGCTCTTTTATGACTTGTGGACTTCAACTCCCAGAATTCCTGAGCCAGCATGGCTCAGCTTGGAAACCTCTCCCTTTCCCCTCAGCATGGCTGGCTCAGGAATTCTGGGAGTTGAAGTCCACGAGTCATAAAAGAGCCAAAGTTGCCTACCCCTGGCCTAGACCATGGTTGTGGGAGTACCTCGGGAGTGGGGTTGGTCCTGGGGATCAGGCACAGGTCACCCATGAGTTGGGGGGTGGTGGTGCTGAAGTGGGATGTAAAGCTGCCACCCTACTGGAAACCTGAGCTGTCTCAGCCTGGCCATGCAATAACAGCCCTGATGGAAAGCAATGCTGGGTTGGGCCTGGGTTTAAGTGGAGGCCTGGGGCCTTCAGCCATCTGCCACTGACCCCAGAACCAGCCCAGTGTCTCCGCTGCCACTTAGAAATGCGGCCTCAAGCCTCGGACCGGAGGCCTTTAGCAGCCTTGTTTCATTCTCCAAGACGCATGATGCATACATGTTTTCAATCAAGGTGTCCCAAAGCACCTCGAAGCTTTTTCAGGACCCCCTCAACTCACCCATGACCTATGCCAGCCTCCCCTGCCCACTTCAGGCAACCCCAGGTTCCTTACCTGTGACTCTGTCTGCTTAATAACCTGTGAAATTGCTCAACAACCAGTGCAGGAACGCAATGTTTGAGCAAAGCAGCCAAGTCGCATCTCAATGCCCGCTTCATGCAATGACCCAAGATTCCGGTCCGAATTGTGCTAGTATGTCCAGGACAAGCTACCAGATATACGAAAAATTTACACCATCACATAAGAGAAGGAAAAAGATTTCAGGCTGTTGTAAGCAACCCATTTCTGATTCCCTTTTCTTGCTTCTTCTGACCTTTATACCCACAAGCTCCATCGCATCATGGCTTTTTGATCCTGGCTTCTTTACGAAACATTTTAAACAAACTGCTTCTCCAACCGGGCCAAGATTTCCACATTCTCTAGAACAGAGTCCTGGCCAAAGTTTGGTGGGTCCCGATCCAAAAACGCCCCTTCTCCTCTGCGGAGCTCAAGGCCACATCCTCACTGGTCTCCTGCAAAGAGAAATGAGAAAGGCTCAGATGCCAACAGTGATACTGATCAGCGTCTACAAATGGAAGAGAGAGGAGAAAATAGGATTATTTGTTCAGGAGACAAAATAATGGGGATGGAATTGTGATTCAAGAAGATCTTAATGAGCCAAAATGAAAGAAACCAGCAAGATGAAGTCCAACAGGGACCAATGCAGAGTTGTGAGTAGGAAAACTCAAAGGAAGACAAGAGAGATCAGATGGGGCAAAGCACGTGTGAAAAGGGCTGCTCTTTTTGGAGGCTGCAAGGCCACAAAAATTCCAGGCTTCCTGGGACCGAATGCTACCTTGGATAAGCGTTTTTAAATTAGGTAAGACAATCTTCTAGCCATCAGTTTCTTTTGTTACCTGCTTTACAAGACCAGCCTCAAAACCTCCTTAGAACTTTTGGTTTGCAAAACATCCACCAAGAAGTTGCTGCCACATCACAGCCTCTTCAGGGCAAAATAAGGGAAATATTGATTTTTACAGATTTTACTCCATGGCAATGGACCTAGGTATTTGCAAGACCGCCTCCTACCAAATACTTCCCTTCGACCAGTCCGCTCCCACAGAGAGGGCCTCCTTAGGGTGCCGTCGGCCAGTCAATGCCGGCTGGTGACCCCCAGGGGGAGAGCCTTCTCTGTGGCAGCTCCTGCCCTCTGGAATTACCTACACCCCCCCCGACCTACGTACAACTGCGGACCTGCACCTTTTTCGCTGAGCCCTGAAAACCCATCTATTTCGTGCAGCCGGCCTGGCGTAGTCTTAATTAGGTTTTAGTATAGGTTTTTATATGGGGTATTTTAGAGCAGGCCTTTATTTAATTTGATTTTAGAATAGATATTTATTGTGATTTTATTATCGCCTGTTCACCGCCCTGAGTCCCGTAAGGGAGATAGGGCGGTATACAAATCTAAATAAACATAAACATAAACTTCAATGGGGCAGAAAATGTGTGGAAAGGGCTGCTCTTTCCAGGCAGCGGATTCAAACATAGGTACAATTAGGAAAGGCAGCCTTTTGGCCATCAGCTTGTGTTTTTTTTACCTGCTCACAAGATCAGCCTCAAAACTTCCTTTGTAAAACATCCACCAAGAAGGGGGTGGGCACATCACAGCTTAAGGGGAAAACAAGGAAAACATAAGATTTAGAAATTCTGCCCAGCTTTTTAAAACAGGAGCAAAGTAAAGATTAGCATCAAAACAAAAGATTTTATTTCCCCCCCTTTAGACAGAGCACAAAGAAAGAGGATCCCTTTTGTGGGTTAAAACAACGTGAGCTCAATTCAACTAATTTAAACGTGTTTTCTTTCCCCCCAAAATCACCCATCCCAGTTGCAATGAGGACAAGAAGGCGTTAATAGCATACTACAAACCTCAATAAATGTTTTTTTAAAGCTCCGTTTACTCCATTTTCGCAACTACTCTTGGCGGGATCTGCATTCTCAGAGGCCTCCTGCCCTGACGGACCACAGGGAGACCTTCTGGAGTAACTTCCTCAAAAGTCCTTCCCGGAGCCCCACGGGGAGCCTCGGCCGGGCGAGGAGGGGGCAGATCCAGCCCGGGGAGGGAGGGACCCCCTTTGCCCCCCTGGAGGGAAGGGAGGGATCCACTCCCTGCAGGCGACGCCAGAGCCGAATCTCCCCAAGGAAAACCCGGCAAGCCGGAGAGGCGGATCCGCAGCTACCTTTCTCCTGGCGGGGGGGGGGAAGCTCTCCTGGCGGGAGGGGCGCCCCAAAGGCCGGAGGGAGAGCAGCCAGACCTGCCCCGAGCGGGATCCAGAAGCCTCTCCCGAGGGATCCAGCGCCGATCCTGCCAGGGCGAAGCGGGAAACAAGGAGGGAAGCGGAGATCCATCGAGTGGGAGGGTCCAGGCGGGGCTTCTGCTCTCCTCCCGGGCTTCGCCTTTCATCCCCGCCCCTTTGCCCCTCACTTCCTCTCACCTGCCTTCCCAGCCGGGTCTCCCTGTTCCTCCGCGGGCCATCCGCGTCCGGGGTTCCTCTGCCCATGCGAAGAGTGCCCTGCCGTGCCCGGGCGGAGCTGCCTCTTGCTCCAGCATCGGAGTAGAAACTGAAGCTCCGCGATGGCCGCCAAGGAGTCGCGGAGGGAATTGGGAGGATTTGCGGCGTTTCCCGCAGGCTGGAGAAGAGGGCGTGGGGGGGGATGCGGACCCCGAGGAAGACCTGCTCCCGGGGGAGGGGAGGCAGCGGCAAGACATACGGAGATCCAGTGAGTGGGAGGGTTGGGGGGCGGGGCTTCTGTTCTCCTCTCGGGCTCCGCCTCCGCCTGGAAGTCCCGCCCCTTCTCCGCCTGCTCCCTCCTCCCAGCCAGGATCACGTGCTCGGAAACCTCCTCTGATCCTCCAATGGGCGCCCGGCGTCGAGGTTTCCTCTGCCCATGGTATTTATTTACAATTCAGATCAAATTGAACGTTGAACAATATTCTCCCACATATAATGCTGACTCTACTAGGAGCACCCAGGAGTCAAGAGGGAGGCGATTCTTCAATCCTCCAAGAAACCTGCTTGCTCCACAGTGGAGCTTTTATGAAGGATGCTTGGAGGAGGAGACTGGATTGGACACTTGCGTTGTTCTCTGGGGGGATCCTGCCAAACACGCTGGACAAGGATGGAGGATCCAAGAGGTCTCAGCTCCAGAATGGATTATTTGTAGCTCAGGGTTGAAATGCTGGGTATTTATTATTCTCTGAGCTTGGTGGTTTCCTTGCAGATGTTTCATTACCCAATTAGGGAACAGCATCACTGCTAAGGATGTTACTTAGCACTGAATAATAATATTAATATTAATATTAATAATAATAATAGTAATAATAGTAATAATAGTAATAATA